CGCAGCTAGGCAACGAGGGAATACTGAAACGCTTCCTCGAGCACAAGAGACTGGACATCGACCCGGGCCCCCCTGATAACCTGGGGCCGTTACATATTGCAGCTGCAAAGGGTATCACGGTTTCGGTTCGTATTTTGTTGAAAACAGGCCGGCTCAACATCAATAGAACGAACAAGCTGGGGAGGACGCCGTTGCATTACGCTGCCCAAGGGGGACACAATGAGGTTGTGCAGTTGCTCCTCGCGCAGAAAGACATCGACATCGACATAGCGGACTACGAGGGTCGTTCTGTGAGGTCATCTATAAGCATGTACCCTCCAAAGGTCTCCGAAACCCTGACGGGATACGTATCGCCAAACCGCAGAAACACCGCCGAGCCTATATCCTCGTCAGAGTAACGCAACTTCGAAGCGGTAACTCCTAGACTAGCGAGATAAGGGTATGAGTTCAGTGCGAGAGAAGCTCAAAAACGAGAATTAGGTCAATGGGAAAACCTACTACTAGAACTCGATGGTGATAGCAGATCGTATGGCAGGAGGCAGGGCGTTTCGATTATTTCATTACTCAACGATCCATCGGAATCTGCAAGTAGGGCACGCAAGCAAAAAGCTTGCAGTATCAAGTCTATAATATTATAACAAAAACAAAAAATAAAAACTCTTGTCAGTCCTTCACTTTCTGCACGGGTATCCACCAAGATCGTTGTGGTAACCAAAAGAACACGCGAGTGATTAAGAGGAAACCAAAAAAGATGGATATCTGAAGACACCAACCTGTATACAGTCAGAAAGAGGAAAGGAAAAGAGAGGGGTTATAACGTTTATGCGTGTAGCGATTTGAACCGCTTCTGCATGACCAGAACGATATGCTCTGACAGACTACGCTCCTACCGGCCCAGTCCGTCCAGCTTGAAAGTAGGACGCGACGGAGTATCCCAGTGATGCCTCCTTGGGCTGTCCAATGCACTCAAAAAGATCACTGCTGGAGGTACCGCAGCAGGCGTACCTATTATAACACATCGATAAATTCATTCCACATGCATATTCAGCCCCCCGGAATGGATGATACAGGGACAGCGGGATCGATAGTCACCAAACGTCACTCGCGCTATCCCCCGCCTCACCTTGGAGGACCCGTTGTCCAACCCAAAGATGATTTCCCTGAGATATCGTACGATACACCATCACCCTAGGCGGACTGCCCCCCCCCCCACCCCCCAGACTGTGTGGAACAGTGCCCACAGACCGGTGCTCTAACCTATTTCCCAGAACGACAAAAAGTCCCGGTATGATAACATACTTTTACCTACAGTATCCCTCATCCCAGTCCCTGCAACAAACCCTTTTAAACCCGCTCCCTCCCCCAAATTTCCCCCCAGTCTACAGAAGAGCCCTCCTCCTATTCCCCATTGCCGGTCCCCAGAGTCTACGCACATACGTGTAAACGCCCGTGTTCCCACTCCTCAATAGGCGCCATACAGCATGACGCATCGTATCATACAAAAATTGAAGTTAAACCCCCCCTCCCTCCCGTGGCCGACGAACCGACCTGGACCATGACAGGACAGGACAGCTTCCCAAATCGACTCCAAGTTTTTGAGCATGAAGACGTGAAATCCTTCCTCTCAAAAATTTCCAAAAAAAAAAAAGCCTCCTACCTATATTTATCTACCCTTCCCAGAATTTGAGATTCCGAAGGAAAAAATAAGAAGAAAGTGAGCGCAACGCTGCCAGAGGCACAACTCACGATAACGCTCGCTCCAACAGCCCGAGTCCGCTGCGTCGCGGATAACGTTAGCCTACTCGAACGAGAGGACCGCCCCCCAGCAAAAACACTCCAAGCCTCCGGAACCAGCCAGGCAAAAAAATAATAATTTGAGTACGCTATCAGAGCAAGGCAAGTACCCGCCATCATATACCTATTAGTCAGCCTAACAATATGCGCTGAAACTACTGGTATAAGGTGACTGAATGCCGGAGGGAACATAAATCATCCAACTATTTTTTGAGGTTTTCTCAATTTTATTTGTGCAAGTGTGGTTCATTATTTCTTTTTCCACCAATATCGAGTAACAGACCCCCTCATTCTATCTAGTATAAGGTGGTATTATGATACTCCTTACACCATACTTCAAACATATGACAGACCTGAATTTGGTGATACGCTAGGTCCTCCTACACACACAGAACACACACACAGCCCAATTCTCTGCACCTACCTCTTTAATCTATCCTTTGGTTTTCCTTGTTTGCTCTTGCTTTGAATCCGCCATCGGCAGGTCGGTGGACTGCCATGACGAAGGACATATAAACCCCCCTCCCCCTACGGAGAAGTATGATAGAAACCGCCTTGACGGCAGGCAGAACCCGAGTGACACCCCATGACAACCCCCACAAGCCTATCAATCGTGATGGACCCCATCAAGCTAATATCATACCCGGTTTTACCTGCAGACAATATACTCGAGTACGGTAATATATTATCCTGCCCCCTTTTTTAAAAATTAAAAAAGGAATCGAAACCGCTCTTGCATAGATTGCATTGCATGGCCACGTGCTCTCGGTTAAGCCAATTTATTAATTAATTTACACTCTCCTCACAAAGCCACATATTACCGGTTGTCGTTCCCATGCCACAAGCTTAATCACAAAGCTGGTAAGTGACTTGTCGGACATAATTATCGTAGATTTTAAGCATGATATCAGGCGGTTTATAAGTTGATAGCGGTAATGACGATATGCGTGATACTCTTTTTCATTTCCCATACCTAATCCAGTACCATTACCATTACCATGGCGAGAAGTATGAATACTATGGTGGAAGAAAAAAACCCGAACAAACACCTCGCATGCAAGATCGTGCACGGGATAGATAATCCGAAATCCGGGTGAAACGGGACAAGAAGGTAGTAGGGTAGTTTTAGAAATATCAAAATTGAATATCAAAACAGAATTCAAAACGAAAGAACGTCCATCTATCGCCCGGCGCCTGCATCGTTACCACCAAAGAATGAAATAACAAAGACGGAGAAGAGAGCTGAAGGTGGAAGACAAGAAGGCGAAACTAACAGCGATGATAGCGAGAAATAGAAATGTAGAAATGAGGAATAGAAATTTTAGGGGGAGAAAATAGATAGACAAAGAGGAATTAGGCAGCACCTAGTATGTAAGAATTAGACTACCTTCCCACCTCAAATACCCGCTGAAGGGCGTTTTGGAACACCTGAACATTGAAATCGACTAATCCTTGTTTCTCAATGCTGTCCTTACGCATCAGACAGATCAGGGCGAGGTACCTATTCGATCAGAAGACCGTATTAGCCAATAGCTATAGCCGCGGGAAACTAGTGGGGGTGTCCGGAAGGCAGGATCATGTAAACTCATCCAGGTGGAATAAAGGAGATACAGGAGCAAGGACAATGACTTATTGATTTCCCGAAGATAAAGAACCATCCCATTTTGCAGCCTAATTATGCTGCTCGCTTCCACTGTTGCTTCTTCTTGCTCTTGCTGCGCTTCGCTCGGGGCCTCCGAGGTTGGCGAAGAGACTTGGCCTTGAGGCTTGCGGTCGTAACTAATTAATGACTAGAGGTTAGCGACCGCCTTATTCGGCAAGACCAATGGGTCAACTAAATACCCATAAATTTCAGACACATCAACAATCACGTCTATATAATCGCTGCAGATCTCGTAGCTCTGCATATCAACGGGACTGCTGTCCGTCGCGATATAAATCTTACTCAGAACATCAAATAAAAATGCTTTTTCAATTCCAGAATTCGAGCACAGGATATTCAACAAATTCTCCAGAGTTCCCAGCTGTGGAATCAGCTTTTGAATAACTTTGGAGAAAGCCTCGAAAATTGAGTGATCATAGATCGAAGTCAGATGATAAGAAACCTGCACATTATCAAACCCATTATCAGAAAGCTCGTCCTGAGTTCGCTGCATGATGTCACGTTGAGTGTCAAGTTTGTATTCATCTGACAGCCCATCAACCTTGTGAACAAAGACCTCGATATTGATGGCCGGATAGAAACGCTGGATGGCTATAATTGTCGTGTGCAATTTGGAAAGGGGTTCCAGATACTCATCTTGAGCATCAATAACCCAGATCAAAGCGCCAAGTTCGCCAAAAATGTGATCAAAGTCGAAGGTTGGGTCTAGGAAATTGAGTTGGCCAGGGAAATCCCAAACCTGGAAATCCATAAAAGAACTATACAGGAGCCAAGCTTTAGCAATGAGGCCCCGTTCTATAAGTAAATATTGGCACTAACTGGATCGGGTCTTTTTGGATTCGAGTTGTGGACTCAAGAAACAAGGTCTCCGTGGGCGGCATCTTGTGGAACACCACCGAGCTAATCGATGATTTCCCGCTCCTATATGAAAATGTAAGCCAATCCGCATCCATGTATCCACCCAATTCAAGACTTCAATCGGCAATACAATCAATTGAAAGAAAAACAGAGCAGGCAAACCTCCGCTGTCCCATCAAGAGCAACCTAGGCCTCCTGCCACTTGCTTGGCCCAACCCGGGATATGTGCCCACGCTAGAAGTTGGGCTCTGTAATGCCTGTGAACGTGACATCGAGCTATGTGGACGGTAACCTGCCTTATGTGTGGTGCGTGGAGAAGGGGAGGTAGGTTCCTTTAAAAAGCGATCTAGTGAGTAAGAGTTCATCTTGGTCGATTGTGAAGAGGTTGAGCAATCCATCTTCGAATTAATTGGGATAGGGTGATAGGGTGGAGTGGGCGGAGGAAGGTAGGAAAATTGTTCAGAAGAGGTGGAAGAACTTGAAGAGAATGGCATGTGGACAGTCTGCAACCCAATGCGAGGGAAAAAATCAAACGAAATAACAGAGGGTAATAAGAAAAATGACAATGTCTCTCTGTCTGGCCCTTAATCCTGGGGGCGAAGCGCAATACTGGCGACAAGTGCGACAACGAAAAGGATACTCAAGGGTTTATGACGGACCTCGAGATGGATCCAGATGAAGGGGTTTGTGTCTGAAGCGGGGCAATTGCTGAAAGTTTTTCCTCTTTTTTCTTTTTTTCCTTTTTTTCACCCTCTATACTGTGCAGAGAAGAGGGGATAATTATGCAGCCAGACGCAGTGGGGGTGTAGCAGAGCAGTGAGGGAAGGCCAACAACCGACCCAAACCACAGTGTTGGCGTTCGCAGTAACCCGGACCCTTGGTTTAGATTCCAATGAGGCTGCAAAATTGGATGCGGCTACTCCAGCTCGGGCACGGAAGTTTGGTTCCTGACTCGTAGCCCTGCGGGCTAGTGGTGGTGCCTACCCCGAGGCGGATGCTGTGGTGAGGTAGCTCTGCTGCGTATAGTGATCCCTTCCCTTCCCAACCAGTAACCGGCGCCAGAGACAGAGACAGACAGAGATGGGAAGCTCATAGGGGAGGTGAGCCCGATGCGATGGGAAGGGAAAAACAGGATGAAAAACAGGATGTGCGAATGAAGGGAAAAAAAAAAAAAAAAAAGACCGAAACAACCGTAAATACCGGTATCATGCAAGAAGAAGCTATCAATCAAAGAGCCGGGATTAGGCCTGCTCGAGCCCAACCAAGAACAAACTGCCCGAGGACGAGGGGGGGCGGAAGTGAAAGGAAAGGAGGGCGGGAAGGGAATTCATCGAAAGGTGCTACAGCGATGAAAGTCCATATTACCATGCTGATCTCAGACCTTTCAATATCTCCCCAGGGCAAAAAGGGCGGGAAGGGCGCAACAGAGAGGCAAATGTATCCCTTGAATGTCTCTCTATTTCACCTTCACTCTTCCTGCTGTCTGGTATGATATGCGCCCTTCAATCCCTCCAGTTCCTCTGCCCAACCCCCGTAAGGGTGCGTGCTCTCTCCCTCACCCTCGCTCTGCCCTCTCAGTTATGCTCTTCCCACTCCAATAGAACACCTTCTTCCTTATCTCAGAAACCGTTTACTCACAAGTTTGATACTGTATATCTCCCGGGGTATGGCTATTGCGAATAAACGAGCCGTGGATGCAACGATAAATGGCTCAATCACAGCCTTGCACCTCACTCAGCCGGTGTGGTTATGGTTAATGGTGGAGATGGTGGTGGACGTTCGTTTGTGGTGGGTGGGTGGTGCTGCTGGGTTGGGGCTATCAGTGGTCGTGTGTAGCGTTGCGTCAAATTCCAGCTTTGATGGAAAGACCAGGCTTCGTTTCGTGTTGTTATTCCTTGGGACAAGAAGTTTTCCTCACCGTCAGCGATAGTGGAAACGGGGATGGCGGGATGACCAAACTGACGGGCCTTGCTTGCGCCTTTTTGCGAACTAGCAGAAAGAGCCGTCGGCAGACGCCTGTTTCCTTTCCTTTCCTTTTTTTTTTTTTTTTTCCTTTTTTCCCTTCCCTCTCCCTTTGTCCCGCCAACAGCAGCACGGGTATCAGGAAGTGTGTGAGATGATGTTGTTACACAGAACCCATTCCAGCCCAGATATGCCATTCCGATGCTGTGACCATAGGTAACCTGCCGTGAGTGATAGTCCAATGATAGACCACCTACCGGTATGCAAAACAAAAACTCGAGTAATACCAGCATCGGCAACACTTGGAAAAATTTCCTCACACTTTACTGGCTGGTGATGGCACCCTTTCTTCTTTTTTTTCTCCTCATGCCGATGGTGTGTGTACTCGAGTACCGTACTCGTACTTGAGTACCGGCATTGTTCCAGTATCATGCGAGGCTCAAGCATTGACATGCAAGTATCTTCCCAAACCTTGCGCGCTTCGTGCAATATCGGAGGCTCAAAATTAAAAGCAAACTGCTGTGCTGGGGCTGCGAGTGTCGCACCATAACGTATCATACCGGTAACTTTTCAGGACGACGGAAATAAAAGGATCTCGGGCTTAGGGCTGCCATTGCAAATAAGGCGCCATGACCGAAACATATCATAGTCTAAATAATATCATACCGGTATCATGCTGAATTTATGCACGTCGCAGTCCGAAAAGCACAATGTAGATCCCTCCTACGGCAGGGTATATATGATACTACTAATTCATCGCATAATTACCGTATTGTGAACACAGTTCTGTTCTTACGTCGCGAGATTTCCGAGAGTCGCCATAATTTTGCAAGTCTTTGTAGTCTGATTGGCCGGTATTTGTGGTGTCTATCTTCTGCGCAGGTACTCGCAGTGCAAGACTCCCGCGACGCTAGAACAGACCGTACTATCGAAGTCTAGTTGTTGTGTACGATATGATACAAGTGCGTAAAGTGCATGATATGTACCCGAGTACAATAGTACAGTACGAATACTGCACGGTACTGCATGGGAGAGGCCCATTTTGATGTCAGTCCCCCGGAATCCTACCCTACCGTATCCACAAGCCCCCAATATGGTAGTCTATGATACAATATGATACCAGCACTGAGGCAGTTTTATGCACGAAGAATGTTAAGAGAATTGAGAGCTGAGGGAGAGTTAATGCTGTATTAAAGACATTTGTGCAAAGAGCAGGTGCTATTATTACGGGGGGATTTTAGCTTGAGCTTGGGTCACCGAGTGCATTTTGTTGAGAATAACTTATGAAGGCCTGAACAGGGCGATGCCCGATCAGATCTCAACCATCTCAAATCTCAAAGCCACCGTCCTTGTGCCCGGCAACCAACGTCGACAACCCCCGCAAGTCCACAACCCCTCTTGCGACTAGCCCCCTACCACTGTTACCGTGCCTCTCTGATCTCGAGGCAAGCTAGATCCTGGCGAATGCTGCTGTGGAGTGTACCATAAACTCCCCGCCCTCTGATAACGGATCCACCACATCACCATGAACCCAGCCTCTACTTCTCTCCTGACGGAACACCTTCGCTGGACACCTCTCGTAAGTTTATCCCGACATCCTTGGAAGTCTGCGCTAAGCTAAGGTCGACAAGTCTCTCATAGATGACATAATAAATACTGTGAATGCCCTGCTCTACCAATCCGTATCCGCCGTCGAAACCTTTCTCCTTTCGTCCCCGCCCGGGTTGCTAGGGTTTGCCCCGCCACCTGGCACAATTCCAGACACAGATGGTGATGGAAACGTAATTTATTCTGAGAAGGAAGAAGAGGAAATAAATAAAGGAATACACCAATTGGAAACCCTACTTGAGAATGGCGTGGATAAGAGGTTCGACGCATTCGAGCTGTATGTGCTCAGAAACATCTTGGTTGTTCCGCAGGACCTCGTGGGATGGGTGAGACTCGCACACCATAAGGTTAGTTTGCAATATTGTTCTCCCTTCCGGACCTTATTCTACATCCCTCAAAAGTACTGACAACTCTAGAACCTTGACTTCACATCTATAACCCCTCCAGCGCCCACAGATCCTAATTCTTCTGAACCAACTGCGAATATGCCCGCACTTCCGCCAGCCCACGAAGCCCAATCTCGACTTCGCACCCTCCGTCAAACACTTCTGGCCTCGCATGCCCTGAACCAAACACTCCAGTCAGAAGTAAGCTCCAACGAACGAACCCTCACGCAGCTGCGCGCCCTTGCTAGTTCAGATAATAAAAGCCCGTTCTCGTTCATTAACTCGACTTCAATGTCTACGAAAGAGCTTAAGGACACTGCCTCATTCGCCATCTCTCAAATCGGGCTCATACGCTCTCTTATAGCGCAATTGAAACCGAAATATGCCGAGCTACAGCGACGGCGCCAGAAGGAGCAGGAAGAGACCTCGGGTGATAGGATGGATGTTGATGAAGAAACTGAAAAGAAGGGGGGGGAGGGCACGCCCGAGGAGGAGAGGAAAAAGTACATCGAGAGGATGACCAGGAGACACATGGAATCCTCCCGGGGGTTACGGTTGAACGCCAAGGGTGAGGTTGTTGGTGGTGATTTTGAGGAAAATGTTGCGAGAAAGGGGTTAGGTGAAGTTGAGGAGTTGGAGGGACTTGTAGAGGGGCTTGGTGAGGGGGACCCTTAGCGCAATTATACCCTCCCTCGGGCTTTGGTATACTTTATGTCCAATTATGTCGGGGTAAAGTGTATGATATCGTTTAAAAAACGGGAATCCACCGAGATTTAAGTGAGGGATTGCTAAAAATTGGTATCCCAATTCCCAAAAAGACAGATTGAGTCACCGTCCGAGTTAAAACAATTATTTAATATCTACGAGAGATGACCTGTCCTGGGATAACTGATACCGAAAAGGACCAAATCCTCTGCGGATCCCGGGCATTTATATCCAACTTGGTACACTAGTGGGGGCCTTTGATAGCTTCTGTCTGCCGTAGAATAAAAAACGTATCATGGTGGGGCACGCAGCAAAGGTAACACCTTTAAGGCTCCGTGTTAACATGCCTTTGGTTCCAACCGTACCGCAGCAGAGATTGGTGGTTTGGAGGAACCAAGGGGTGTGAGCCTCCTGGGAAATGTGAATACTATGCCTATACTGCCCTGCATACACTCGAGCAGTCTACCGGTGTTTTGTTTAGGAAAAGTTATGCACAGGGAGAGGGGTGTGGCTAAATTGGAAGGGACACCGTCGCGTCTCCACGTGATTTCAAATGCCAATGAAGTTTGCCTGACAAATCTCGCGTAAAGTGGTTAACCCTAACCCCACCCTACGCGTTGCAAGAGAAACTAAGACGCAACTGCTATGATCCCTCTTTTCTCTTTCCTTTCTACCTCTCCTCCACAACATCAATCATATTCTCCTCCCCTTTCCCCCCTTCTCTAATTTTTTTCTGCGTTGCAAATTCTTCATTGTTAATTGCCTTGATACCCCTCACTAAACCTTTTTCTACTGACGTTCATTTCACACAAACTTCGAGATGTATGTTGTGAAACGAGGTAATGCCAATTTCTCCCGTTCCTTCTGTATTATTTTAAGGCCTCCGGAATTTCTCCCTCGCAATTCTTCAGCCTCACTGCTTAGAGTCCCGCTGACAATTCACAAAAATAGACAACCGTAAGGAACGCGTCCAGTTTGACAAAATTACTGCTCGTGTTTCCCGTCTCTGCTACGGCCTTGACAGCGAACATGTTGATGCAGCTACCATTACCCAGAAGGTCATTTCCGGAGTTTATCAGGGTGTTACTACTATCGAGCTAGACAATTTGGTAAATTAGGCTTTTTGATTTCTAGCTTTGGGTTGTCTCTAATAGATTTCTAGGCAGCGGAAACCGCCGCATATATGACTGTCACTCACCCAGACTACGCCATTCTTGCAGCTAGAATTGCTGTTAGCAATCTTCACAAGCAGACGAAGAAGCAGTTTTCTCAGGTCATTAGCGATTTGTATCACTATGTCAACCCTGTGAGTTCCATTTTCCTCTCAATTATGATCAAGTTCTCGATTTGGACTGATATTTTCCAGAAAAACGGTCGTCCTGCCTCGATGATTTCGACTGAAACTTACGAGACCGTCATGCGCCATGCGTCCGAGTTGGATTCTGCCATTATCTACGATAAGGATTTTAACTACAATTACTTTGGCTTCAAAACTTTGGAGCGTTCGTACCTTCTTCGCATCAATGGAAAAGTTGCTGAGCGTCCTCAGCATATGCTTATGCGTGTGGCTGTCGGAATTCATGGAGAGGATGTCGACAAGGTTATCGAGACATATAACCTCACGTCTTCAAAGTATTTTACCCATGCTTCGCCTACTCTCTTCAATGCAGGCACACCATCGCCTCAACTCTCGTCCTGTTTCTTGGTTACTATGAAAGGGGACTCGATTGATGGTATTTACGATACCCTTAAGACCTGTGCTATGATTTCAAAAACTGCTGGCGGTATTGGACTCAACATTCACTGCATTCGTGCTACTGGTTCCTATATTGCCGGGACCAATGGTAGTTCTAACGGCATTGTGCCAATGTTAAGAGTGTTTAATCATACCGCCAGGTATGTTGACCAGGGAGGCAACAAGAGACCCGGGGCCTTTGCTATCTACATGGAGCCATGGCACGCGGATATATTCGATTTCATTGACTTGAGGAAGAATCATGGCAAGGAAGAGGTAAGTAAATGCAATAGTTGGAGCATCTCGCGGGTATCGCTAATTTCTCTACAGGTTCGCGCAAGAGATTTGTTCTACGCTCTTTGGATCCCTGATCTATTCATGAAGAGAGTTGAGGCAAATGCCGAGTGGAGCCTCTTTTGTCCTAATGAAGCCCCAGGTTTGGCCGACGTTTGGGGTGAAGAATTCGAGGCTCTCTATAACAAATATGAGAATACTAAAGACCTTGCTCGCAAGACCATCAAAGCGCAAAAACTCTGGTATCACATTCTCGAAGCCCAAACTGAGACTGGCAACCCTTTCATGCTCTACAAGGACGCATGTAACCGCAAATCCAACCAGCAGAACTTGGGAACCATTAGATCGTCCAATCTCTGTACCGAGATTGTGGAGTATAGTGCACCTGATGAGGTCGCAGTTTGTAATTTGGCATCGTTGGCCTTGCCTACATATGTTGATGTTCAGAGGGGCGAGTACGATTTCGCCAAGTTGCACGAGGTGACCAAGGTCGTCATCAAAAACCTCAACAAGATCATCGATGTCAACTTCTATCCCGTCCCTGAGGCTAGGAAAAGTAACACGAGGCATAGACCTGTTGGTGTTGGTGTTCAAGGTTTGCCTCCTTTCAATGTTTCTCTTGATGGCAGGCAACCACTGACTTGATGAATGCAGGTCTTGCTGATGCTTTCTTGGCTCTCCGTATGCCATTCGAGTCGCCTCAGGCGAAGCAACTTAACATCCAGATTTTCGAGACTATTTATCATGCTGCTGTTGAAGCTTCTACTGAGTTGGCTGAGATCCAGGGCCCCTACCCCACCTACGAAGGTTCTCCGGCTTCGAAAGGCCAGCTTCAATATGATCTCTGGAATGTCACCCCCACTGAATTGTGGGATTGGGATGAGTTGAAAGAGAAGGTCAAAAAGCACGGCCTCCGTAATTCCCTTCTTGTGGCTCCTATGCCCACCGCTTCGACCTCTCAGATCTTGGGATTCAACGAGTGTTTTGAGCCTTATACCTCGAACATTTATTCCCGTCGAGTTTTGGCTGGCGAGTTTCAAATTGTCAACCCTTGGTTGTTGAAGGATCTCGTTGACATGGGATTGTGGAGCGATAACATGAAGAATCGTATCATTGCGGAGAATGGCAGTATCCAGAATATCCCGAATATTCCGGATGATATCAAAGCTCTTTACAAGACCGTTTGGGAAATCTCTCAGAAGAAGGTTATTGAGGTATGTTCTTACCCCGGGTACCGGCATAACGGGTTTTTACTAAATAGTTTTATAGATGGCTGCCGACCGTAGGTTCACACCATGAGGCTACTTCCCGGGAGATGCTAATCAAATGTCGTTATAGGTGGTGCCTTTATCGATCAATCACAATCTCTCAATATCCATATCCAGAACCCCACCATGGGGAAACTGACTTCCATGCACTTTTATGGTTGGAGACTGGGATTGAAGACTGGAATGTACTATCTTCGCACTCAGGCGGCTGCGGCCGCAATTGTGAGTAGCCCCCTAGCTCCCTATGGATGGTCAAAGCCTGCCCACGAATGAAAGGGTAAATGTAACATTGGTTTGTGTTTTTGTGGTGGATTGAGACCTACTGCACTAATAATCCAATGTACATAATATGATTGATTCTTTGGGGGGTTCATGACTGATGGGTTCATGTTTAACTTTTTTCCCCACTATTTTTCTTTGTCGGGCGGATTACATGATTTTTACTATTAATTCCCTTCTTACGCTAGGCGCGGTTCTGCCCGTTTTCGTTTTGAGTTTGTTTCGTCTCAATATTTTCTGCGGAGGCCTCTGTTGGATATTATGCTAACTTTTGTTCCTAGCAATTTACTGTCGACCAGGAAGCACTTAAAGTTGCCGATACGAATGTGGCACGTGCCCTTCCTAACAAGAAGCGTCTCCCAAACACTGGCTACTCTTCTACGGCTGCTATTCCTCGCCCGTTGGGCGCCTCCACTTCTCCTGATTCTTCGCCGAGTCCAAGTACTCTAAAATCGGCGTCTAACGGCATTAACACGCCAGTTGTTGTACCTCGCGTTAAGTCTGAACCTTCTCCCAAGTTGCTTGTTACTGAACCTCCTGCCGTGGCCGATGAGATTGAGGAATTGGAAAAGAAGAAACCTCAAGATGAAGACAGTCAGTGCCTCAATGAGGAGCGCGAAGGAGACATCTATGCAGATGCTGTTCTCAGCTGTAGTATTGAGAACAAGGAGGAGTGTATGATGTGCTCTGGTTAGATTGTGCAATTTTCTTTGCCAATGACCTATCACAGGGAGCAGGGGTGTTTATGGCGCAAATGATTCCAATTGTAATGAAGGTTACGCTTACGGGGAACGTCTTATGTTAGCTAATTGTCTTCGTATTCACATTTTAACAATTCAAATGTGATACCCGTGCTCTACTGCTTTGCTTCTCTCGATGTGAAAAATGAAATGAAAGTATCGTTGTTATTTCATGATTTTGAATGACACGCCCGACACAAACATCAAATAAATATGATAGGAAAAAAGCCTGCTACCCAACTATTCCAGCCTATGGCTTCTTACTACCTCTTGCTACCTCGCAAAGCTCCCTAACGGGTGTCCCGCTCAAATCGGGGTGCACAACCTTCCCAACATAAAAGTATTTTTCATGATTCTTGAAGAAGTTCTCCCAATGAGATATGGCCTTCTTAACATCCTCCCACGCCTCCTTTCTACGCTTATCCCTCCGCTTCTTCAAGTACCTAACCCGACTATCGTTCTCCCCAGTGCTCTCCAGCCTCGAAATCTCGCTAAGCTCCTTATCATCCAGCTCCCTGACATCCCCAGTAATGAACATCTCCTCCAGCCCTCTCATATCCCAGGTGAGGTCATCCTTGAAGCACCCAGACACAAAAGCCCTAGCCGCATCCCTCCCAGAGAAGAACCCGTACGCGCCACCGGGGCCATAAATCTGCGGCGAGGCTGAGACGTCGAAGACGCTCCCATTGACAGCAACGTAAATGGGCAATTGGGGATCCACGCCGGAGTACTTTGATAGTTGTTCGTCAGTCAGGACCAACGGTGCCTTCTACCCGACCAAAAATAATCACGGGTTAGCGGTTGCCATATAGGTAGTAGCAGTAAGAGGGGGAGGCCGGGGGGGGGGGTAAAATAGTTACGAATAAATTCTTTAGGTTATTCCACTTCAGTGCCTTAGGCTTGTACCCCCAAGTGACTGATTCCCCGTCCGTCACGAACCAGCTGAAGACGACGCTGAGGAGGAGGGCACCTGTAAGCACGCGTAGGATATCGACGAGGCTGATCCCCCTCGAGATGGTATTGATGTCGTCGTCGTGCGTGGGTCCCATGTATTGGGTGGGGGAGGAGCCGGTGGGTGTTCCGGTAGGGGGCAGCTTGCGGTTGCGGATCGCGTCCTCTGACATTTCGCGCTCGGTGGATTGGAGGAGGGGGGGTGTTGGGGGGAGGAGGATGTGAGGTAATAAGTAGGATACGATCCACCTGCTACAGTATAAACTTTCAAAGGGCGGATCGTCCGTAAAATAAACAAAACAAATCAAGAATGACGTTCTTCAAGGGAGAGTTTCCCCGGAGTTCCTTCGTTATGATATGCCAAAGCTCTAGCCAAAACAATGGAAGCCCTAGGAGTTCGAACCGACACGTTCCACCCTCATCATCATCTTGGATACCGATAATTAGACTAAAAACCCTTGGCAAGCCTCCCGGTATCTAATCAACCAATTACGATTACCCTAAAGATAATCTAATATAATCTAATCTAGTCGAGGAGGGGCTAAAACCCTTATTTATCTGCCAGTCACGACAGGAATCACACGCCAACCCAACAACAGCAACATCGCCGCAAAATAATCAAGCTAAGCAACGACGACGAGGGCACTTGAATCAGAAAATAAGACGACCCCCGACCGACGATACGACAAAAATTCGATAACTTTTGTGAACCGATAAACATCTAAGTCATGGTAAAAATCAAAACCCGCCTCTAAGAACTCCCCCCGGGCAGGCAAGCTAACGAAGGAAAATCAGGCCCCCGCAGCAGCACAAGGTGGAAGGAAACAGAAGAAAAAGTGGTCCAAGGGAAAGGGTAAGTTTTTCACCCCCTTGTCTTTTTTCCCCCTTCCTTTTTTGGCCAGAGGGACCAGATGCTGATGTGGATCGAACATGTAGTCAAGGATAAGGCTCAGCATGCCGTCGTCGCCGACAAGACCATTCAGGACAAGCTCAATAAGGACGTTCAAACCTACCGTCTCATCACTGTTGCTGTCCTCGTCGACCGCTTGAAGATCAATGGCTCATTGGCGAGGAAGGCGCTAGCAGACTTGGAGGAGAAGGGCGTTATCAAGAAGGTTGTCGGCCACTCAAAGTTGTCGATTTATAGTGAGTTTTACCTACCTGCCTAGGAGTCTGATGTGGAGTTGATATTGATGGATTTTATATAGCTCGCGCGGTTGCGGCGGCGGAGTAGTCTCTTTGTGAAATAATGGGTTTCTATTAAATCAAAAAAAAAGTAAAAGGTCAAATTTTCTATCCTTGCCACGTTCCAGAGGTTCTTTCTAGAAGGGTTTCTTCGCGTTTTACTCGGGAGGTCGGGCCGAAGGGGGGGACTAAGGCGGATGGTTATGTTTTTTTTTTTCTTGGCAGGGAACGTTATCAGGCGCATTCACGGGTTACATATCGGAATTGAAAATACGTTCGCTTGACACCGGAAATTCTGCATTTGGGAGGCTTAATAGGGGGCGGGGCTGGGAATGCTGGGCTGAGGAGGATATACTTGAGCAGGCTCTATCTAAAATACTGTTGGCCCAACTACCGAGTGATTTTGTTCCCCACTTCAGGATCCACGGCCCAGCCAGCATAATACTATATCTAGGCCACAATATAGCATCACCCAAAAGCACCATACTCCACCCTTCAAAAATCATGTGTGGTTTCTTACCTGCATTCAATAAACCAAAGGATAATAAGCAAGGTTGAACCCCTAGAAACCCTAAGGTGATTCCAATGCAAGACAAAGTATTAATTCTAAACCCAACCAGATGGCGGACAACCTCTAATGAGTTCCCCCCAAACAATGCTCCCAGCACCTTATTGGATGTCCACTACGCTAATACCAATATGGTAGGTCCCAAAGCCTACAAAATCCATCAGTAACCACGACCGAATCATCAAAGCAGAATCGAATTACAAACCTATCACGCCCAAGGAAAGTCGTTCCAATCATTACATGGCTTAATGAGCTTAAGCCAGTCCTGTGCAAGAACGGCGTTCCAGTCAACCATACATTCAAAACAATCCATGACAGCTTTTCTATTCTTTGGCTTGCAAACACACGGCGGGGTCCTCGGGTCAAGCGCATGATCCACGGGCTCCGGATCTTCAATCTCCCCGGCATCTATCCGTCGGCATGCCTCAACCATTTTATCCACGTCCCCACAGCTACGAGGACATGCCATTGCTTTGAGCTCGTACACACACACTCGATACGAGTTCAGAAGAGTGGAACGCCAGTCTACTTCATTCATGGTGCGGAAAAGGCAGTCAATGCAGTGTGGGGCGTCCTCCATGAAGTTTTTGTTGCGGCACAACTTGGCGCTATCGAAGCCGTAGGGTCTGTTATTTGCAGGAGTTTGAGGGGGTTCGGTTATAAGGCCAGATGCTATATACATTAGCTAAGGTGGCCCCAGAAATAGTGGGAAGTGGGGGGGTACCGGCGTAGGTATAAACACTAGTACAGGGAGCCATGCACCTCTCTGGTGGTGATACACCTTGGATTTCGTTCGGATTTTCTCGAGGTTCCGGGTGCCTCCTGAGTAGGTGATGGTCGAGAAGCGGGTGGGGGACCGCCGCAAGTGCTAAGAGGGGGTAAACTAGAAGTGAGAGCGAGATAAACATTGAGGATTTAAGGATAATTCGAAGCGTTGACTGTGAAGTGTGTGGTGATGATAATTATTGATAACTAGGTTGACGGAATGAAGGAGAGAGGAGGGAAATGAACAGGAGGCACTGGTGGTTAAAAAGAAGGGCATTCTTGGTAGAATAACGAGCACAGATTACGTGTGCCATTCGATTCAATGCCGTCATGTATGGCGGCCGCGTATCGCACAGTGTCTGCTCCCCATCGTGATCCCTTCCAACCTCATGCTTTGAAGCCCCCCCCCCCCCAGATTTCCTACTACTAGATCCACTGCTCCCAATTACTTATACCTCCCCCTCCACGCTCACCAAGGCTCTACTACTCTGCGGGGGAACTTGCTACAGTTAACAGGTGAATAGATGGAACCACCGATCACTCGATCTTACATTTACCAAACCTGTTATAATTGATGTCACATACTCGCAAGTATGATACCGTATCGTAGTATTGTTCAAACACTATACCGACCTCCGTCCAATAATACCGGTACCGCAAACCAATTGCGATGCCCATTTTTAACTCCGTCAATCTCCAACCCGTTTTCGTCAAAGTCTCGTCCAATGTAGAAAAGGTATATTATAACGGGAAAAGGCGCATTCTCGATAACAACCCCTTGTGTGCAGGAAAGTTCAAAATATCTCCCCCGCTAGGAGAAAATCCCCCCGAACTCTCCGTCTCGGTACAGCAGCCAGAGAGAAATACCGTACCGCACAGCACCCCCCGAGTGGCCGAGTGACCCCCATGGGTCAATGAGAGATACCGGCAAATTACCGGTAGTTGGAGAACCCTGGTCCCCCGGAAATCCGGGGAACTCCTTGAAATGCAGCTTCCGCCTTGGCAATTGCAGTGGCCACCTATTACATATCCCTAGCTTTCCGATAAAACAAAACTACTACAAGTCATGGCGCTGTGTCGTACTAAAACCAGCACAGAAAATCAAATTCCTTTGCCTTCTCGGGGTGTCGTGACTATGGTTAGGACATGGAGGGGAACAGGTGGGGTCGCTGGGCGTGGGGGGTCATGTATTTTCCTTAGTCAATTCACCTAGGCAAGCACTGAATCTATCACTCAAGTCATCACTACTGTTTGACTCCATTCTGTTTCAAGTTCCATTCCTATTTCAGTTCTCTCCCCCCACCCGGCCATCTAATATTGCACTCCGCCAACATCATTGGCAGACACGCCCATCGCGCACCTTCAAACAAATCCCTAGGCCGTAGTCAAAATATCGAGTGGTCTTTCACGATGAGGGTCCGAAAGCGGTGCCCTGGATGGCTCTTTGGGGCGCCTTAGGATCCTTTTTATTGATCCTCCTGAGTAAACAACAAGTTCTTCCAGGGGCTGCGCACCATGACCTGGTGCATTCCTGTGGCCCAGCACATCACAGCAGCTACTAAATCACCCATAATTCAGTGTTAAGGGCACTCCACAAACCTGGCAACAGAAGAAACGTGCCCCCCCTGTTTTCCATACAAACCCCACTTTTCGCACATGCCTATCAACTCCATAAAAAATTTATTAATAGAGAGCTTAATCCAAAGATTCACATAGTTAAATGTCAGACTATAGGAATGGTTGTCATGAATGTGGCTTAGCAAGAAAAAGGTTTTCACATGACTCATGATTATGAGTCATAGATATGTTATTGTTTTGTGCATATGACCCATTTGAGTAGTATGACTTGTTATGTTATGATTTGCTATGTTTCGCACATGACTCAATTATGAGTTATGGGATGTGTATGATGAGAATGCCTTGCAAGTATGCCTTGCACATATGATTTATGTTTTGCACATGACCTTATTATGAGGTCATGGGTTTTGCACATGTGACCACTTTTGATTATATGACTTGTTTATTTTATTATAATTGGTTTATGAGTTTTTGCACATGACCTTACTACGAGGTTATGGGTTTTGTACATGTAACCACTTTGATCATATGACTAGTTTGTTACGATTTGGTTTCGCGCATGTGACCACTTTAGGTCATATGACTTGGGGCAGGAAGAGCACTATATAAGGAGGCCGGTACGGCCCAGAAGGATAGGCTCTTCACACTTTTTTCTAAGTACGTTTCCTACTTATTACTTTAACGAATATAATACATCTTTACATTCATTTACTATTATTATAACATTTATTGCTATTACGATAAGAAGACTCTGTACGAGACAGAGTTAGAGAAAGTTTATGATAGGTATTACAGATAGAAGACAATGGTCTCGTACTATCAGTAACATAGGCATAGTCCTAAGAGCAATCACATAGCCAAAGAAGAAAAGAGAAGAAGAGAAGTATCATTCCCTGTTGCTAAGAACTAAATATCTGAAGAAGGATCATTGCAATAGTTCTGAATTGTGAAAGACTTATGCTGAGATTACAATGCTATAGAAACATGTTCTGAAGGGGGTCAAATAAACTTTTAAAGAAGGCAATACTAAAATTCATATCAAGTCAGCCAATTTGGATGGGATTCTGCATAGTAACCAATAATAGCAAGCAAGCACATGTACTGCCATTCCTGAATGAAACTAATAAAGTTTTAGTAATGTGTTTGAGTTGTGACTGTGACAAATATTAATAACTTCTAAGAACTGGGAAATAGGTAGCAGCCACTACAAGTTCTACGGATAACACAGTACTTGTACTAGGGTGTCACGAACATGGCTTAACAAGGAAAGGGTTTTCACGTGATGCATAGTTATGAGTCACAGGTATGTTATTGTTTCGTGCATATGACCTATTCGGGTTATATGATTTGTTATGTGTGGGATTTGTGATGCTTTCGCACATGGCTCAAGTATGAGTCATGGGATATGCGCCTGACGAGTATGCCTTGCGAGTGTGCCTTACGGGTAAGCCTTGCGCATATGATTTATGTTTCGCACATGACCTCATTATGAGGTCATGGGTTTCGTGCATATGACTCAGTCGAGTCATATGACTTGTTTATTGCATTATGATTGGTTTATGAGTTTTGCACAGGACCTCACTATGAGGTTATGGGTTTTGAGCATGTGATCACTTTGGTCATATGACTAGTTTGTTATGATTTGGTTTCGCACATGTGACCACTTTAGGTCATAAGACTAAAGGCAGGAAGAACACTATATAAGGAGGCTGATGCGGCCGAGGAAGATAGGTTCTTCATGCTTTGTTCTAAGTACTTTTCCTATTTATTACTTTAACGAATATAAAACACCTTTACGATCTTTATCCTTATTGTAACATTATCGTTACGCCAAGGAAGGCGCTTTACAAAGAAGAGTTAGAGAAAACTTGTGATAGGCGTTCCCGGTAGAAGACAAGGGTCTTGTACTATTGGTAATGCAGGCAGAGGCCTAGAGCTATCGTAAGACAAAGGAAGAAGAAGACAGGAAGAGAAGTATCGTTCCCTGTCGCCAAGCACTAATTATCCAGAGAGGGATTGTTACATAGGGTCAGAGTCATACTCTGTCACTCCTATTTTCCTCCCACATAGTTTGGCAACATCACGTCAACTATCGTCAGCCCTCCCACTCACCTCTGCCCACTTGATAGTTCCTGTCTATGGGCAGGTTAACTCTGCCATCCTCTCTTGCTATCACCTCACTTGTCTCTTGTCCGCTTGATGTGGGAGTTATTTAGACTTACCTAGTAGACCTGTCTTACTTATAGTGGCTCGCTTAGCTTTGGCACAGTTGACTTCCTCGCTTCACTTTTGGTCGATACTGGCAGTAGTGGATGTCTTTCTCTCCACTTACATGATACCTATTGGGGAATGCCTTGGCTTGTAACTTTGGGGTCTATCTTGCAGTGAGATTTGACCATATTCTCCTAGTCACTCTATTCAAGCTACGGTTGCCTTCCTCCTCTCATCCTTCTGCCTCCCTACTACCTATAGGATTTCTTTCACCAAGTGACACTATCTCTCAGAGAAATAGAGACTACAAGAGAGATGGGGTAATACGGTAATGGTTCGGTCACAATTAAGTTAGTACAGGGGTCTTGGGCCCTTCTTTTCTTTTTTCTCTTTGGTCGCATCGGCTGGTACCCTACTACTTGATAGTGTAATAATCCCATCAGTAGTCAGTTGTTTGTATTCACAGAGTGAGAGAAGATGATTGTCTGTAGTAGCGTTAGGGCTACTGGTTGGGAGTTGTCCCATAGTATTTGTATGGTGTGTAACTAGGCACACCTACAAACTTGTATATATAGAAGTAGATCTCCACTCACAAATGTTATACTTTTCTGAGATTAAGCCATCTCGACATACACCCCTGAATACAATTCCACATCATCCTTGCGACTCACCACTCAGTTCACCTCACAGATCTGTTGTGAAACTGTGTGATCCTTATTTCCCACCATCACTACTGTCTACTGGTATCTTACTACTGCACCCTCTTTTGCTGTTTCAGGTAGCCCTATTGGCACTCCCAGATGGACAGCTTGGGGCTCTTATTTTGCCAATACCTTCTGCTTACAGTGGGTGCTCATTTCTTACAGTTTCTTCTTCTCATGTCCGTGGACTATATACTCAAAATATACATTTATGTCATCTATGTGGCCTACCTATTCATTACTTCGACTTTAGGGGTGTGGTCTGTCTCATGAGTTGGGTTGGGTCTGGTTGTTGTAGGTGAGTGGTTTGTTTTGACTGGCAGTTTGGGGCTTGCTTGGTTTGAGTTTTCTTTTGTTCAGTGGGGGTATACTGTTGGGATGGGGAATTTCCTTGCTTCGAAGAGTGGGTTTTTAGACTTTCTGTCTTTACTGTTTGTAGATAGCCATATGGGAGACTAGCAGGAGAGTTTTTTAAACTAAGGACTAGTTGGATATCGGTAGCTCTAGACGAGACCTCAACACTCAAGTCGTGGGATCTGAGGATCGAGCACCTGGCTGTTAGTGTTAGTCTTTTTGGGATTATGGTTTTTCTTCTAGCTGCTGGAGAACAAGGCTGGGAGGGGGTAAAGGTTTTCATAGTTATAGCATGCAGGCCCCTAGACCTTACATTACATAGAACTGGAGAAATAAAAGGATAAAAAAAAACAATTTAA